TGATTTTTAGAAAATTTAAAATTATGTAGCTTGTGTTACATTTATATTGAGTAGTACTGCTCTAGAAAGTGGAATAGTCATGAGAACTCCAACAATCTTATGAAAATTAACAATGATGGTGGTAAAGCATCAAATATAGATACCCCAGAAGATGTTAAGTATTTCATTTTACAATGAAAAAACATCAGAAAGGTATATCTAATGGATGGATAATTTTCCTTATATGCTACCTTACCCTGAGTTTACTTTCTTTTGATTTAGTTTGTGCACCAGAGTATAAAAAAATGACATTAAGTACTATGTCGTACTACTTTTATCTAGTATATCTTTTCTCTAGTATATCTCTGTAACCAAGTATTTGTTAGAGGAACATTGATTATATAGCCACTTCAGTGTTTCTTTTCTTGTATTGTTTTTTCTTTCTTTTAACACTAAACATTTATTAGCTGTGATAATTGGATGAAGTCATAATTTTCTCATCCACAAAATGAGGTTAATAAAACCTAGTACACAGGTAGGTTTTATTAAACGAGGTAAGTGAATGTGCAGTGACATTCGGATAAAAACTGAGCAGCGCGCTGTGTTAGACATCGTAGGAGAAAGATGACTGAGATCTCGCCTCTCTGAGTGAGGATGACAAATACGTGTTACACCAATTGGAGTTGAAGGCAAGGTGACTCAGACACTCGAATGAGGTGCTAGATTTAAACGTTGTGAGTGAAGTGGAAAGAGTGATTCCACCGGGCAGTCACATTCCTGCAGAGTCTCAATAGACAAGAGCATGGGGGTAGAGTTGGGGGTGGGCGGGCAGGCCTTTTAGGTTTTGGATTGAAGAAAATGTATGAATGGAGGTCGGAAGCTTCATGATATGTATCTGCGGTTCCCTTTTGGTTTAAATATCCAGGACTGTTATATTACAATTGGGTTATGTTGCCCTACTGTACCTCAGTGGAGCGTCTACCAGCCTGGGAGTTCCTTGTGTATGAGGACTGGTCCTAGTCATCTTTGTACATCCAGCGTGCAGCACAGAACCTGACAAAAAGCACGTGTTCAATAGATGATTGTGAGTAGATGAATGAGCACGAACTTTGCAGCATTTAGAAAGAAAGCATTTCTTATTTTTCAGTTCAAAATGCAGTATCTACGAGGAGTATTTGAATCTCTAGACTTTATGACATACAGATGTATTTGCTGATGGCTGGGCATTGAGATCGTGTGAGTGATAGGTTTTTATCCTCCCTTGAGGAACTGATCTGAAGTCTCGGAGCTTTAGTTACCTGCTGCTACAGAGGGCTCTTACTCCACCTCCCAGGGACCATTACATTTCTGCCGGTTTTCAACACAACTTTCTGTGGAGCTCTATTCCATGGCTCTACTCCTTCCAGGAAAGAAACCCTGATGCCTTGGCTGCCAACTTCTGGCTGCCCGGAGTGGAACGTTACTCTGCAGGGGAGGAAGCACAGTGGGAAAGGGTTATATCTACAGGAAATCTTACATTTGTTCTGTAGTGAAGCATGTGAAAAGGTTGAAAGAAAGGAAGTAGCTTAGTAGCTAGAAGTTCAGTTTGTGTGGGATTTCCTGTTTGGGGCTTTTTCCCCTACCCTGTTTTATCATCATTATGTTTTAATGTTTTATTTCCTGTCTACTTGGTAAGTTGCTTTTTTATAAATTAATTTTTATTGGAGTATAATTGCTTTACAATGTTGTGTTAGTTTCTACTGTACAGCAAAGTGAATCGGTTATACGTATACATATATATCCCCTCTTTTTTGGATTTCCTTCCCATTTAGGTCACCACAGAGCATTGAGTAGAGTTCCCTGTGCTATACAGTAGGTTCTCATTAGTTATCTATTTTGTACATAGTATCAGTAGTGTATATATGTCAATCCCAGTCTCCCAATTCATCCCCCCCCGCCGCCTTCCCCGTTGGTATCTAAACGTTTGATCTCTACGTCTGTGTCTCTATTTCTGCTTTGCAAATAAGATCATAGGTCTACTTGGTAAGTTGCTTATTAGTGGTGGTTGGGATCCACTATGAGCATCATTAACAGATTTTCACGGGAAAAAACGACAAGGAGAAAACTGTTCTACTCACTTTCCATCTTTTTGAGAAAGGAAGCCAGAAAAGCTGTTTTCTATGCATATACCTCTCCCTGACTAACCATGATTAATGATTTTTGTTAGTGGACTAATTATACCACTGACTTCACAACTGGAATAAGAAATAGGAGCCATTATTGGCTTAAATGACTCGCCGCCCCCCGTGAATAATAAAAATTTAACACCAGTGAGTATTTGCAAAGAGTAACTATAAAGCCGAATATATTATGTCTTCACCGGGATACAAAGGTTAACAACCCTTTGTGTTAAAGGCCCACCAGTTAGAACAGCTCACTACAGACCTGGGTGTAAAGAGGAAAGGGCAGCGGCAGTAGTTCTTCCCTGTAGGCGTTAATTCTTCTGTACCCTTTGGCCTCTTCCTTGTCTTTATCACTAGTACCTTTCATATACCTCTGGGATTTGATAAGGGATTTGCCAACCATGCTGGACCTCTAACTGTAGAGCAGGGAGAGCTGTTCCAATTCAGACTTTTTTTTTTTTTCCTTGCGGTACGCTGGCCTCTCACTATTGTGGCCTCTCCCGTTGTGGAGCACAGGCTCTGGACGCGCAGGCTCAGCGGCCATGGCTCACGGGCCCAGGCGCTCTGCGGCATGTGGGATCTTCCCGGACCGGGGCACGAACCCGTGTCCCCTGCATCGGCAGGCGGACTCTCAACCACTGCACCACCAGGGAAGCCCCAGACATATTTTGATAGGGCTTAAAAAGCCATTTAACAAATAGTAATTGCACAGTTTCTGGGCTTCCAGAGGCTTATGGATGCATTAAAGCTCAAGGTTCCAGGGGAATCAGGAATGGTGTGAAACTCAGGGAGGTTGGGAGAGGGTTGGAAGTGAGGGCTGAAGCAAGTCTCAGGGATGGAGGAAAGGCTGACTATATCTTTGGTAAATGTTACTTGATAACAAAAGGTAAAAATTTTCATTTAGCCATTTTGATATAAAAAACCTGTATTAGGGATTTACCTGGCGGTCCAGTGGTTAGGACTCTGTGCATTCACTGCCGAGGGCCCCTACCACTAAAAGAAAGAAAGTTTTGTTTGGTATGTAGAAGGTACTCAATAAATATTTATTTATTGAACTTAGTCTTTTTTTTTTTAAGATTTAATTTTATTTATTTTTGGCTGCATTGGGTCTTCGTTTCTGCATGCAGGCTTTCTCTAGTTGCGGTGAGCGGGGGCTACTCTTCGTTGCAGTGCGCAGGCTGCTCCTTGCGGTGGCTTCTCTTGTTGAGGAGCACGGGCTCTAGGTGCATGGGCTTCAGTAGTTGTGGCACTCGGGTTCAGTAGTTGTGGCGCACGGGCTTAGTTGCTCTGCGACATGTGAGATCTTCCCGGACCAGGGCTTGAACCCGTGTCCCCTGCATTGGCAGGCGGATTCCTATCCACTGTGCCACCCAGGAAGTCCCGAACTTAATCTTGAAACCAATGGCATGTTCTTAACCCTCCTTCTCCTCTTCCATTTTTTATCTGGGCCTCACAAATTACCCAAATTACAGTTGGCAAACTTAAGAGTAGCATTGCAGATTTTAGTAAAATGAATTGTATTTTTGAAGGAAAATGAGGTCAAATAAAGACTGGGTAAACGTAAGAAGTCCCTTTAAAACCTCCACACAACTTCTTGCCATTTCAGTCTTTCTGTTTCTATCATTAAGTGAATTTGATCAAGTTGCATTAGCCTCTCCAGACCTCAGTTCCCCCTTTCTTAAAGCCAAGGGATTGGGACTTCCCTGGTGGCGCAGTGGTTAAGAATCTGCCTGCCAACGCAGGGGACATGGGTTCGAGCCCTGATCCGGGAAGATGCCACATGCCGGGGAGCAACTAAGCCTGTGTGCCCCAGCTACTGAGCCTGTGCTCTAGAGCCTGTGAGCCATGGCTACTGAGCCCACGTGCCACAACTACTGAAGCATGTGTGCCTAGAGCCCATGCTCCGCAACAAGAAGCCACTGCAGTGAGAAGCCCGAGCACCACAACAAAGAGTAGCCCCCACTCGCTGCAACTAGAGAAAGCCCATGTGCAGCAGCGAAGACCCAATGCAGCCAAAAATGAATAAATAGATTTATTTTTTTTAAAAAAAGCCAAGGGATTGGACTAGTCAAGGTCCGTTTTAGACATTTTTGTTTTACTACCTCATTCATTAATTACTTTCTTTTTTTTTTTTTTTTTTTTGCGTTACGCGGGCCTCTCACTGCTGTGGCCTCTCCCGTTGCGGAGCACAGGCTCCGGACGCGCAGGCTCAGCGGCCATGGCTCACAGGCCCAGCCGCTCCGCGGCATGTGGGATCTTCCCGGACCAGGGCACGAACCCGTGTCCCATGCATCGGCAGGCGGACTCTCAACCACTGCGCCACCAGGGAAACCCATTAATTACTTTCTTAAGCACAAAAATGCAAAATAAATAAAAACTTCCTCATTTAAAAAAGCAAATTTTCCAAAATAGTCTTGCCTATGTTTTCATTGTGGTGTACATATCATGACCCCACCTTTGGGAACACAACCTTCGATGTCAGCATTGTAAATGGCAAGTAACATAGGAGTGTAAGCCGCTACGAAGTTGGTGAGACCTGAGCTTGAATCCTGGCTCTGACAAGTAATATCTTTGTGACCTTAGACAAATTGCTTACTCTCATTAAGTCTCGATTTTCTTATTGGTAATATAGAGATGATAACGTATTTATAAAGCTATTGTGAGGATTAAATATGATAAGGGATATAAATTGCTTAACACAGAGCTTGGCCTATAGGAAACAGTTCATATCACCTAACGTTAATGATATAACTGCTTACATCATAAATTGAGGACTATTTCACTCAAGTATTAAATAAACTAATGATCAGAATGTTTTCCTGGTGGAAACTGACCTAAAATATTTCTTTCTCTTTGCAGATCTTATATTGCACTTTAAATACACCTAAAGTTGACATGGGAAAACTCTTAGGAGCACAGATAGGTCTTGAAGATTTCATATTTGCCCATGTGAAAGGGATCAAAAAAGAAGTGAATGTGTATAAGTCTGAGGATTCACTTGGTCTCACCATTACAGATAATGGTGCTGGCTATGCTTTTATAAAGGTAAGTCTTAAAAAATAACTGTGTGACTTAACTGAGGGTAACATATAATCTATATTATATGAAAATCTACCAGGTCAAAGAAAGTTTGAAATGATCTTTGGAGTGAGAGCTGACTCGACAGCGATGGATGGATTGGTAATGTTTCCTTTAAAAAATGTTTCAAAGGCACTATTCTTTTTTTTTAAATTAATTTATTTTATTTAATTCATTTTTGCTGGGTTGGGTCTTCTTTGCTGCACGTGGGCTTTCTGTGTTGCAGCGAGCAGGGGCTACTCTTTGCTGCATTGCACGGACCTCTCATTGTGGTGGCTTCTCTGTTGCGGCGAGCGGGGGCTTCAGGAGTTGCCATTTGCAGGCTTAGTTGCTCTGCGGCATGTGGGATCTTCCCGGACCAGGGCTCGAACTGCGTCACCTGCATTGGCAGGCGGATTCTTAACCACTGCACCACCAGGGAAGTCCCAACACCATTCTTTTGTTTACTCTTTCCTTGATTTTTTTTTCCTTCAGATTAAACTTCCTCTAGAATTTAGCATTTACTGAAAGGGAAAGCCTGGCCCTGGTGCCTACTTATCCTCATGGGATCTTGTAGGTCTGTTGCTCGTCAGCATGTGACTTCCATGCTGATTGCCACTGATTTTGTGTTATTTCCAAGAGCACATATTTTTGGCCACCTTATTTTCTTTAAAAAAATGCTCTTCAGTGGGCTTTCCTGGTGGTGCAGTGGTTGAGAGTCTGCCTGCCGATGCAGGGGACACGGGTTCGTGCCCCGGTCTGGGAAGATCCCACATGCCGTGGAGCGGCTAGGTTCGTGAGCCATGGCCGCTAAGCCTGCGTGTCCGGAGCCTGTGCTCTGCAACAGGAGAGGCCACAACAGTGAGAGGCCCGCGTCCTGCAAAAAAAAAAAAAAAAAATGCTCTTCAAAAATATCTGAACATATACAGTTGACTCTTTAACCACACAGGTTTGAACTGTGTGGGTCCACTCAGATTTTTTTCAATAGTAAATATTACAGTGTAATGCAGTCCAGGGTTGGTTGAATCTATGGATGCGGAATTGTGAATATGGGGAACTGTTCACATGGTGGGATTTTTTTTTTTAATGCTCACAACAGTTCCATTTGGTATCATGTTTTCTTTTTAATTACTTTTTTGTTGAGATGTAACAGATGTACACCTTTAACGAATGTTTACAGATCTGTGTAAACACCACCCAGAGTAAGGGAAATTTCATTTCCCTCACCCAGAAGGCTCCCTTGTGCTCCTTCTCGGTCAGTACCCTTCCCCCTCAAAGGTAGCCACTATTTTGACCTCTATCACCATAGTTTTGCTTGTTCTTGAACTTTATGCAAGTGGAATCACATATTATGTACTCTGCTGTTTCTGGCTTTTGCTCAACATGTCTGTGAGGTTCATCTCTGGGTAGGCACTATTATCAACTGTTACAGATGTAGAAACAGGTTTGGGAGGGTTAAACAGCTTGCCCAGAGTTAATGCAGCTGGACAAATTCAGGATTTGAATCCAAGCGATCTGACTCCAGAGCTGGCAATCCTACCCACTGAGCTTAGAATTAATGGTAAAGTTTCATGCCTTTTTTTGGTCCAGATCCTTGATTTGCTGATGCTTTGTCATCATTGAAAAAAATAGCCTTAGGGAAGTTATCTTCTTAACTGTAAATAGTACTTTAATTAACTTCCCACTTGATAGAATGGCTATTTTTAGCTCTGCAAAAGATATGACTCTGCTGAAGGTTGAGTGGGTGACCAAATGGAAAATCCGTGAGTTGGGAAAGTCATGTGGGATTATCTGGGGAAAGCTCAGGACATGAGGTACATGGAGCAATGCCATTCTAATGTCAGCAGGGAAGGGCTTGGAAGTTTTGCAAGGGAAGGGCTTGGAAGTTTTGCAAACACGCATGGATTTTTTAGATCTTAGCCTCTGATGTCCAGAGCTTGTGTTTCTATTTTTTTATGCCCCTTCAGACATGTGTCTGCCTCAGATTACTAGTCACTAGCCCTGTGGGGACAGAGAACATGGTGTCAAAGAGAAAGTGGAGCCTAAGCCAAACCTCCAACTTACAGTTCAACTTAGAAAAGAAATGAATATCATACTGTGTACAAGGTTGATATGATTTTTTAAAAATTGTGGAGGGCGTGATTTCAGACTTATTGAAAGAGTGTAATAACAAAGAACTCACACGATACCCTTTACTCAAAAAAGTTTTACCATTTGCCACATTTGCTTTATTCTCTTAAACACACATATACATATATGTAATTTTTCCTGAGCCATTGGAAAAAGTGGAGTGCATGTATTATGTCTCTTTATCCAGTAATACTTCAGAATATAGTTTCTAAGAACAAAGATATTCTCTTTAGTATACCTACAGTACAATTATGAAATTCAGAAAACCTAACAGCGATACAATACTGTCAAACTAATCTAATGTCCATATTGCAATTTTATCAGTTGTCCTAGTAATGCATTTTTTTCCTGGAATAAGTCCAATACAGGATCATGTATTTCATTTAGTTATCATGTCTTTTTAGTCATCTTTACTCTTGAATAGTTCCTCAGCCTTTTATAGAATATCCCTCAATTTGGACTTTTCTGATGTCTCTTTATGTTGTGATACCGGTTATTATGCATTTTTGGCAGGAAAATTAGATAAGTGATGTTGTGTCCTTCTCAGTGTATTACCTCAGAAGATGCATTTTATTGGTTTGTCTCACTATTCATGATGTTAATTTTTTCCCTTGTGTAAGGTAGTGGCTGCCAGTCTTATTCACTGCAAAGTTATATTTTCCTTTGTAATTAATAATTTGTGGAGAGATACTTTGAGATTATGTATATATCTTGTTCTCTTAGTTGCACCCCACACACTTAGCATCTATTGATGAGTCTTGCCTGACTCGGTCTTTAATGGTTGCAAAATGGCGGTCTTTCTAATTCCATCATTTCCTATATATATTTTTAAAACGTTCTATTATAATAAAGCACTCCACTTATTTATTATCTATTAGCAATGGACACATGATTTTTAAATTAATTTTTTTTGGAGTATAGTTGATTATACAATGTTGTGTTAGTTTCTGCTGTACAGAAAAATGAATCAGTTATACATATACATAAATCTACTCTCTTTTAGATTCTTTTCCCATGTAGGTCATTACAGAGTATTGAGTAGAGTTCCCTGTGCTATACAGTAGGTCCTTATTAGTTGTCAATTTCTTATTCAGTGGGTCCATTACCATCATTTATTTTGATACTCCAGTTTCCTGAGGTTTGTCCAGCAGGAGTCCTTTTCAGCTGGCTCCTGTATCCTTTTGACCAGCCTCCCATTATTTTATTGAGCAATTCCTTCCTTTCTGGTACAACAAGATGTTCTACGATCATCTTTTATCTTCTTTTCCCCAGGCTTGGAATCAACCATTCTTCAAGGAGCTCTCTTTTTTAGTGAGGATGGGTATTTCAGAATCAAGATCTGAAGCTGGTCGCATGCATTCATTGCTACCTGAGTGTCAGGTCCTTTCAGTTACCACAGAAAGGGTTAGAAAACATGTATTTTAGGAATTATGATTTCATAATTATGCCTCCAATTCTAATCCTGCCCCACAAGGTTCTACCTTGGCTTCCCCACTAAAATATTTGCTCTCAAGATTATTGAAATATTTACTTATTTCCTTAGTTCTACAATATACATAAAATAGTTTCAGAATTGCTGTATTTGTACTCTGAAAAATATATTAAGAGTTCAAGATTTCTATGCATTTTTGTCTTTAAATGTATGTACACAAAGTATTCTCTTCAGGAGTTAACTTGGAATAGGTTCTCACTTGCCCCCCCTTCCCCCACCCCATGATTTTTTTTTGGCGGTATGCGGGCCTCTCACTGTTGTGACTTCTCCCGTTGCGGAGCACAGGCTCCGGACGCGCAGGCTCAACGGCCATGACTCATGGGCCCAGCCGCTCCGCGGCATGTGGGATCTTCCCAGACCCGGGTGCGAGCCCGTGTCCCCTACATCGGCAGGCAGACTCTCAACCGCTGCGCCACCAGGGAAAACCCCCCAACCCCAAGATTTTTATTCATTTGAAATACTGTTGAATCCATTTGCTTCTCTTCAAATTGAGTTTGAGTTTTTCCTCTCATGTTGGTTTAATTTTCTGAGTATGTAAAATGGTTTCAAAAGTTAAAACTACAATAAAAGATGTATTCAGAGATGTCACACCTTCTGTGATCCCCATTTACTCATTTTCCCCACTCCTTAAAGTAATCAATTTTGTTAATTTCTGGCTCACTCTTCCAGTGTTTTTTGCCAAGATAAGCAGAAAAAGTGTAATGTTCCAAGAGTTCGCATGTCATCCTTGTTTGGGGACAATGCTAATCTTCTCTGTATGGTTCCAATTTTAGTGTATGTGCTGCTGAAATGAGTACTTGATATGCTTTTAGCAGTGGCTGCAAGTCAGTGAAGGTTGATGTAAGAGGACAGTGTAGTGGGGATTCAGACAAGGGTGAGGAGGAAGGAGTCCATGATTAGGAAGGCAGTGCAGTGTGGTGTATAGGACCACGGGCTTTAGAATCAGGCCTGCTTTTGGTCTTGCTTCAACCATTTATTTACTTGCTGTGTGACCTTGGACAAGTCATTAAAGTCATTTCTGTGCCTTCTCTCAAATGAAATATTAGCACCTACTTTATAGGATTATTTGGGTATAAACTGATGACACCTCTGAAATGTTTGATAGTACTTATAATTGATAGTTAATACCTTAATAATAGCAACAACAACAAATCATCACATAATTAGGAGATGAGATCGATTGCAGAGAAATGTATTTGCTAGTACCGCATGGTTCTCACCGATAAGCCTCTTCAAGTGGAAAGACAGCAGACTTAAACATTTATAACTTTTGTACCCAAGTCTTAACATTTCCCAGGAAAATGTATATAAATAACTTAATCAGAAAAATCAGAGTATACTTACAGCAAACTCTACAAATTCCTAAAATAGTTCAAGACCAGAGTTGGCATACATTTTCTATAAAGGGCCAGGTAGTGAATATTTTAAGCTTCATTAAATTTTAGGATCATACAGTCTTTGTTGCAACTATTCAACTCAACGTTGTAGCACAGAAGTTATATACAATACTTAAACTATGAGCATAGATGTCTTTTAGTAAAATCTTATTTATGGACACTGTAATTTGAATTTTGTATAATTTTCACATGTCACAGATATTCTTTTACCTTTAAAAAAGGTAAAACCGTTCATAACTCATGGGTCGTATAAAAACAAGTGGTAGGCCAGATTTGACCTCCGAACTGTTGTTTCCTTTTCCCTTTAACAGAAGAGAATACTTTTAGATTCAAAATAAAAATAAGGGCTTATACTATGCAATTAAGAAATGAAAACCTAAGTTGATTTAGAATTGAAGTAACTTATAAATAACCACAGAACTGTCATTTTCAGAATATCTTCTTATAGAAATCTGTATAATTTGGGATACTTTTACTTTACTAGAACTAAATGACATTTGAGCATGATCCTTTGAGAAATATGGTACTCGTATATTTCTAATATTTTGATTATTTATCCAGAACTAATAATTGTACAAGATCAAGGGACTCGGGGGGCGGGGGCGGGGGCAGTTCTGGGATGGAAGCTAGGATCTCTGAGAAGAGGCATGTAAAGCAAGAATAGAAGTGGTGATCTGAGAAAAGAGGTAATATTTGAGATCTGGAGGCCATGATATAGATGAAGAACAGCTTTAGTAGAGGTAAGAAAAAGTAAAGTAGGAGGGTGGCGTTTGTAAAAAAAAAAAAAAAAGTTCAAAGGTGATAGGTCACCTTTTTCCAGCTTTATTGAGGTATAGTTGACATATAACATGGTGTAAATTTAAGGTGTACAATGTATTGATTTGATACACTTACGTATCGTAAAATGATTATCAAGGTGATAGATCATCTTGGATAACTACAACCCCAAACTCTGGTCTTGAGTCAGAAGATCTTGAATTATTCATGTGACTTTCTTTCTTTCTTAACCAGACATTTGGGTTAGTTAGATCTGTTTGATTGGGAGTGTTTTGAGGAAAGAGCATGATGTCTCATAATTATACCACCTCTCTTTGAAAACCAGTTTTCTTATTTATTAGCTGTGTTATTTTGGTTAAGCCATGTCATCACTGTGCTTTGATTTCCTCATTCACTAAAGGAATATTAAATATTTCCCCTCCCAGGCTTGTTAGGACTAAATGAAATAGCTATTTACAATTGTTATCTGCATGTTTATTATTATGAACAAGGTTTGAGGACAGTGTTTGGAGGGTCAGCAGCAGAGACTCAGAGTTGCTGACCATGTGGGCAGCGTCGGCTCAAACAACCTCGAGTCAATGCTTAAGACTTTGAGGATGGTGGGATGCTACCCTAGAGTTCTGCTGATTTGTGATGAGAAGATAGAATTTTGTAACTATATGGGATGAATTAATAGAAGTTAATATAATAACAGTCTGAAATATTTGGGAACCTCTAAGTTCAATAATATTGTAAATCCTACCTTCCCAAAAATATTTAATGTTGTCTTCACATTTTGCAGCATCAAGCTCCAAAGCCAGATGAGAGAAAGTTCTAAGTATTTAAGAGAATGATATTAAGTAACTCAGTAAATATAAATATAGAATTAATGCCTCTTTTTTCTTCCTGGTCCTTTGTGCCTGAGTAGCACTTTTAGCAATATTATTAATCTATATCAAGTTATGGTATGATTATTAAAGTATATTAAATTGCAGAAACTTGTTTCAGTTGCTACCTCATTCTTCTATCTATTTAGGAAGCTAAGGCTCAGGTCACCCACAAAATATATCATCAGTGTCTCCCACTTTGCTTCTATATCTGGTTCACCTATGGTGCCTTTCTCCAAGCTTCTTATATTGATTTTCCTCTCTCTTCATCCCAGATTCTTATCCACTGGCCCTGATGATTACATATGCTTTGACTTTTCTCTTGCCCACCTGGATTCTCACCTTGCTACCTGCTGACTTCTGGTAATTGCCTTTTCTCCCTCTCTCTGGGCACCTTTCTTGTGACCTGTGGCTACTCATAGGCTCTGGTGACCCTAGATTTCTGTTACTCTGCCATTTAATTTACTGGTAAGATTCATACATGTCTTTAAAGTCTTTCATTTAGTTTTATATAGTGCTTATTTTTAATAAAATTACAACAGTAAGTCTTAAACTAAAAATATGTGGAACTGAAATTTGTATGGTATAGTTGATCACAGGAAAAAATAGGTTCAGAATGTATCAAGAAACACCTTAGAATAAAAATTAAGAAAGTCAGAGTTATAGATTTTCATATTCTCTAGTGACTTAAGAAAGGTTAGATGACAGAATATTAAGTTTTTTTGCTTTGTTTCTTTAAACTCTAGTCTTTTGTTTAATCTCACTTATGTTTCTATGATAGTTTGGAAACTCCAGTTGTACTGAGTGGTTTGTTACCACTCAGTACAGTGTTTGTTACCCTTGTTTGTTTCTCTAGTTTTTGTGTCAAATATGGACTTACTAAAAAAACATTGTCACTTAGATTATGAAATTTCTGGGTTTTTTCCTTTAAAATTAACTACCTGTAATGACAATAATCTCTGTGTGAATAAGCATTATTGTGTCATTTGCATAAAGCCTGTTAACAGTTATTACAATGAACATATCAGTGTTCTTAAAATTGGGGGGGTAAAAAAGAAACCCACTGTAAGTTTTGGTATATTGTAATACAATTTAAAAATTAAAAATGCCCAACCTTTCTAGGTTAGTCTTCTACAACTTGTTTTTTCTTATGACAGTATTATGGAGATGTTGGGGTACTTGAGATTGGTTTGTCTCTCAACTCGTGGACGCAGTAATCAATCCCCTGCTGCCTCAGAAGATGTTGTTACTCCACCTGGCAAGAGTGGGGAATATACACACTTCCGTTACACAATAGCAGCAGCCCCTAATATTTCCAGCCTGTCATTCTCACAAAGGATTTGTGATGCCCGAGGCAGACTGTGGCCTGCATTTTGCCGTGTTCCTCACCACTGTTGAAGAATTTGTACATCCTCTGTGGGGCTGTTACCTGTGCAGAGTTTTCTAGAGCTTCTGTCCCTAAAATCTTTTCAGAAATTCTTAGGATTATGTTAGGGAGTCTTACACCTCATCTTGAAACTCTGAGCTACTGATATATTGTACATACCTATGATAGAGTTAGGAAAGACCAATTTGATGTTTCTCCTTGGGTCCTAAGTTCTCCTCACCTAAAATATATGAATGAAAAGTGATGGTATAACATCCTTCTCATTGGCTCCACAACTGGTAACCACACCTGTCTCTTAAGTATCAATATTCTTTTTTTTTTTTTTTGCGGTATGCGGGCCTCTCACTGTTGTGGCCTCTCCCGTTGTGGAGCAGAGGCTCCGGACGCGCAGGCTCAGTGGCCATGGCTCACCGGCCCAGCCACTCCGCAGCATGTGGGATCTTCCCGGACCGGGGCAAGAACCCGTGTCCCCTGCATTGGCAGGCGGACTCTCAACCACTGCGCCACCAGGGAAGCCCAAGTATCAATATTCTTAACTACCAATTCTTGTCTTGCATTTGTAACTAAGGTTTAAAAAACTGTAGCTGGTAGAAAAAGCTCAAGCTTTATTCTGATGTAATGGGCCTCATGTTGAAATGATTCAACAATCATTTATGGAGGGGCTTTTCTGTGCAGATGTTGTGCTAGGCACAGGGCAGTGGTGAAGAAGACCATCTCTGTCCCCAAGGATATTACAGTTCAGTAGTGGAGACTGAGAGGTAAATGAACAATTGCAGTATGGTTTGTTGAACTTGGCAAATTCCTTGATCTTCTGATCGAGACATGAGACTCTCATAAAGTTTGTTAAAATTAATTGAGATGGCGAATGTAAAGTATCTAGCTTAGAGCTCAACTTATGTAGCAGAAAGTACTACATGAGAGTGGCACCTTACCTAGTCTTGGAGTGGGCTGGGAGGTGTCAGGAAAAGCTACTCAGAGGAGGTGGTGACTGTGATGGAAGCTGAATTCTGAATGATAAAGGAGAATGGTTGGGAGTAGGATGGTTGTCTTTGTTGTTTGGGCTTCTGTCTTTAACTGAACACTAAACTGCCTTGTTGATGTGTCAGTATATTGTATGTAATGTCTCAAGAGCATGATAAGTAATGTTACACAGTGCTATTTTATATTAAGTATTACCCTTCATTTTCTTTCAGAGAATTAAAGATGGCAGCATAGTTGACTCAGTTAAAACAATCTGTGTGGGGGATCACATTGAAGCCATCAATGGAGAAACTATCCTTGGGTGGCGTCACTTTGATGTTGCTAAGAAGTTAAAGGAATTAAAAAAAGAGGAACTCTTTACCTTGAAGTTAATAGAACCTAAGAAGGCCTTTGGTAAGTCGGTTTGGTGTATCTTTCTCAGGGAAATGAGTACTGTGATATGGTGTCATGTGCTTTTGTATATCAGTTAAGAACATAGGAAGTGATAGATAAGCTCTACTTATAAGGAAAACAACCATTGAAGGAGAAAAAGATTACCTAGAAGGACGTTTTCTTAAAAAGACATTTTGGAGTTATAAAGTGTCATGTATAGTGACTCAATTTGCTCCAAGCTCGAAGAACAGCACCTTGTATTGCGTTCATCTTGCCGAGCTGGGAGATTTTTGACTGAGCTCTCTAAACAGTGGTATCTGTCACTCATGGACCTCAACAGCAAAAATTTTAGTTACACACAGAATTGGTATTTAAAGTAGTTATTTGGTCTGTTTTAAAGACTTCCTTCAATACTTTTCCTCCATTGGCATTTTAAACTTGGCAGCGTGGAATGGTATGAAATTGCTTCTACTTTGGTGTGACATCTGTACTTGCTTGGTTTTAGCCATGGCAGCTGTGTTCCAACTGCTGTTCAAACCCCTAGGGCTATCTCATCTACAGGAAAATGTGCCAGCTTCTCTCTCACTACCCAGAACTATTTTAATAAGCCAAATGATGGCCTAGTGTTCATCAGTGTTAAAATGCCTTCAGCAGAATCATTCTCAGCCAGCCCTTGCTCATCTGTGACTCCACCACCTTATGTTCTTTCCTTTGCTCACATAACATAAATATTCCTTATAGTTTGTCTCTAATGGCTTTTCTCAGGGCAGTTAATGACAATGATGAGTGAATGCAGTGGGTCTGGGCAATTACATTTCCCCACCCTAAGCAAGTAAGGGGCAGATCCTAGCCATACGAAATTGAAACACTTTCTCTGCTTCCGAGCGATTCTGTGCCATTTAATAGAAATGCAGTGTAGGTGGTATTGCTTGTGGGTGACAGAGTTCCAAGAAGATGTAAGAAAAGGATGCCTTATGCCAGTAGTGCTCCTGGAGGGACCATTCTAGGAACCACTGCCGCAGATACCGTGGTTCTGCATGGTACATCACAGCATCTGAGCTCACTTCCCACAGAGGAAGGTGGGCCATCACGCAGAGTTCTATCCAGCAGCCCCTTTTGAAATGGCTTTATTTGGTAACCAACTTCCCAGGTATCACAGCATATAAACTGATAGGGTGTAGGCAGTTTGAGATAAACAGTATCTGATTTAGACTCTTTGTAAATCAAAATTATTCTCTTAGTACAGCTCAAGAAATATAATTTCTTTCTACATTTACTTCTACCATAGAATCTGTTTTCCAGAGTCGATCTCTTCCTGTTTTTCCTTGTCTGCATATAAATTGTGTGGTCCCTGTGATTTTTTGTAGAAAGTTGCTGGTACACCTTAACTTGGATGTTAGGTTGGTAATAGTCTTGGATGTTACAGAGGTCATTGTATTTATCTATTATTGCTCCATGATTAGATTGTTTTCCTTCAATATTTGAGATACATGTACGGACGGTTGGTGTACTTCACTGCCTTATGTGTCTGCGATGGCTGAACCTGCTCTTTTGCTTCATATGAATTCCATGGACAAATTTGAAAAGGATTTTCCTAATGGGGGTATATTATTTCAGGCAGCTCACATTCTGGTGGTATGAGTTAGGATACCTGGAGATTGATTTTGGGGCAGTGACAAGTTTTTATTTTCCATGGTTTCAATGGCAGCTTAACTCAATGTAACACCTGCTGGTCTATATGCATTTTTCACTCTGTAGATCAAGGTTTGCCTCTGGGCCCTAGCCCGGGGATTTCTCTTAGAAGTAGGCCTTGCTTCTCTTCCCACCCTTCAGCCCTTAATTTTGGTGCCTATCTTTTTGACTCTAGGATAAAGGCAATGCTAGCTTGTTCCTTACCCTGCGGCCTTATTCCAGCACTTAGCTCTTTTGCCAGGGAGGGAATATATATCAGGAGGTACTTGGGGGACCGGTCTTGGCCCCATTCTCTCCATCCCAATCTTATCTTTTGCTATGTTTCCTTCCTTCCTGTGTTTTTCTAGCATTTTCATTGATTCATTGATTCAAATTTAAAGTCCTTCATGATCTGACTCTGTCATCATGGATTCCTACCAGGAGAAAGGGCCAGTCTACATGAGGCAGAATTCTCTTCTTTGCATTCAGATAGCTTCAGCCAAGATAGCCTAAGTCATTTCTTGGACTTAACCAAAAGCTGTCAGAAGTAGCCACACACTCCAGTATCTTGAGATTTTCCTATCAGCTTCCCAAAGATTTAGCCTGGGGAGGCATGTGGACTGTGTCCCAAAATATAGGAGGGAATAATGTAGTTGGCTGCTTTGTGCTGGCATAGCAGGTATGATGAACACAACTTCTTAACCACTGATGAGGGAATCCATACTGCCTGTTTTATTTCCATATTTTACATCCACCACTATCCACACTCCACTTCTAGGGGCCACTATATGTGTCAAGATTCTTTGAGAGCTACAGAATAAGCACTATCTAATTTAAGGAAAAGACATTTTTGGGAAAGACTATCAAGTAGGTCTCAGAAACAAAGAAAGTTCAATCAAGTCTTGGAAAGGTAGGAACTGAGGCTGTTTCAGGGATGTGTGAACAAGGAACTCTTCATGGTACTGGCTTAATTGACTCCCTCCAGTTATTTCCTGTCTTCATGTTACCCCACTTAGGATTCAAATTCCTGGGAGGGGGGTACTTATTAGGTCGTGTGTCTGTCTTGATAGTGGGGAAGGCAGACTACGTAATTGACAGGCCCACCAAAATCACACAGAACAGTGAAGGGGAGGAAGTTTCCTTTTGGGTAGGAAAAGGCAGATGTCCATTTAACCATTTCTCTAAGCTTTTACATCTTGTTCTTTAGGTAGAGAAGTGTTTGTTTTCTCTTGACTTTGAATCTGACTCTATCCATGCATGATGCTGTCAGTCTGGTGTATCAGAATGAGTCTGGAGGGAGGAGGGTATTGTCAACTGGCTTTGGGTGTCTAGTCTTAAGGATTTTATTATTCTACTAAGTTTTGGGTGCTATATAGATGGCTATTTGGCAGTGGGCTATCTGGAGACCATGACAGTATCTAACTTTCTTTCAGGGAAAGGCTAAAGCCATATTCTTCTTGGTGCTGGCCGCCAAATTTGGAAGGGATCTCACTCCATAGATTGGGACTACACTCCTTGAAGGTCCTTCATTTATGTATCCCACAAATAATCTGAGAATTTGCTGTGTTCCAGGTACTCTGCTATGCCTAGCAGATACTAAGAAAAAAAGACTAAGTTATATCTCCTGCCTCTTGAGAAGCTCACAGTCTAGTAGGAAGCTGTTATGGACTGAATTGTGTCCCCCTAAAATTTGTATGTTGAAGTCCTAATCTCCAGTACCTCAACATGTGACAATATTTGGAGATAGGATCTTCAAAGAGGTAACTAAGTTAAAATGAGGTCATTAGGGTGGCCCCCTGGTCCAATATGACTGATGTATTTACAAGAAGAGAAAAATTGGACATGGAGACATGTAGAAGGCGAATGCCTTGTGAACATGAAGACAGCCAACTGCAAGCCAAGGAGAGAGGCCTCAGAAGAAAGTAACCCTGGTAACAGATGTCTAGCCCCCATAGCTGTAGGAAAATAAGTTTTTGTTGTTTAAGGCATGTGGTCCTTTGTTATGGCAGCCCCAGGAAACTAATACAGAGGCCAAGAAGCAAAAAAAGAAAATATAGTGCAAGTTCTTTGACTATGGCAGTAGATCTTGGACTTCCTGACAATATAGAAGGTATAGGTTGGGTGTCTTAGCAGTCCTTTGGCCTTGGGCAGATGGCAAGAACTTACCAATATGTTTTCATTCAATGAATATTTGAGTAATTAGTATATACTGGTCTTAGGGTGCTAGTTGCTGGGATAAGAGTCACTGTTCACCAAGAAACTACTGTGTCCCATCACCATACTACATACTTGGTATTCCATAAATAAGATCCAGTTCTTGCCTTCAAGAACTGCATGTCTAGGGACTTCCCTGGTGGCACAGTGGTTAAGAGTCCGCCTGCCAGTGCAGGGGACACGGGTTCAATCCCTGGTCCGGGAAGATCCCACATGCCGCGGAGCAACTAAGCCTGTGTGCCACAACTACTGAGCTTGCCCTCTAGAGCCTGCAAGCCACAACTACTGAAGCCCGCGTGCCACAACTACTGAGGCCCGTGCTCTGCAGCAAGAGAAGCCACCACAATGAGAAGCCTGCACACCGCAACGAAGAGTAGCCCCCGCTCGCTGCAACTAGAGAAAGCCCGCGCAGCAACAAAGACCCAACACAGCCAAAAAAAAAAAAAAGAGGAAAAGAAAAAAAAAAAAAACTCATGTCTAGTGAGAAGAGAGGGATATAAGAAAAAATTTCAATAAAGGATGTTAGAGGTGATAGAATGTACTGGAGGTCTAAAAGTGGGATACATCAAACCAACCAAGGAGTTTAGGAAAAGCTTCCTGGAGAAGGAGTTTGAGCTGAATCCTAAGAGGCTTACTCAAGGAACGAATCAGGGAAGGTTGTCCTAGGGAGTAGGAATAAAATAAAGGTGCAGAAGCATGAAGCAGTATCATATATCTTAGAATATGATGTATGTGGGTGTGATTGGAATAGAGGTTATAGGTTGTGGTGTGGCAAGAGACAAAGCCCAAGAGTCAGTGGGCACCAAATTATCAAGGGCCTTATGTATATAGATAAAGAGTGGACAGTGGAGAACCACTGAAGGGGTTTAGGCAGGGGAGAAGCATAATGAGACCTGGATTTTAGAGAGGTATTTTGGAGACCATGTCAGAGAGGTAGGGTATGAGTAAAAGGTCAGGAAGTCAATAAAGACTCTATTGTGTTGAGGAGAAGCAAGATGAAATCCGGAGACAGTGCCAGTAGGCATGGAGATAAGAAATGGTTCTGAGGATTAGATGGTGGTGTGCTGGAGCCATTAGTGCCCATCTCTTTTCAATTCCATGTTCAGTGGCATCAAGTCGGTTGCTTGAAATTGGCT